TGGATGAAATGTATTATAAGGAGTTTTTCTCTAATTTTCGTGTGACACAACAGATTAAGATTATTTCAGTCTTCATATTGCAGTAGACAAATGGACAGTTCCAATCCGACGATATGTTCATAATGCTCCATGAGAAAATGCAGGGGGTTTTTTCACCAAATTTGACAACCTGAAGATTCGTTTGACAATATTTACATACGCCTATTTTGATGAATAGCATAAACTCCACTGGCGAACAGAGGAATGCGAGGAAGCGTCCTCCGAGATGCCCACATCATCGTTCTTAAGTGAACGACCACCACTGACCACCTTCAGTTCAATATCTGGTACTCGTTATACGCCACAATGTATTTTCCTCGAGCAAGTTCCTACGGTTTTGCGTCCCTGTGTGCAGTGTGAACGAATAACGTAAAACCCTCCAAATGTTTCCAACACCTGCAGAAACGCCAGTTTTCTGGACCTATTGAGATATGTGATCGCATATTTTCGCCGGAGTGGAGCTATATGTATTGTCAGAGGTTCGACATCGCATCATCTTTATACAATACGCGATACCAGAAACATCCAGGGTTGAATTCACTGTCAAACTAATACTTTGATCACTTTTTGTTATCGATTGTTTTTGGTCCATTCACATGTAGTGGAACTAAACTTTAAATGGAATGGGCAAGTTCAAGATTACAAGTGACAAACGCGAGTATGTTTTTCTAGGAGTGGACGCCAGATGCCATAACAAGACCACTAATTCGCACGTTTTTGTTCGCGCAGTCTCGCTGTATCTGTATTCATTTTCATGCTTTTTCACGAGTGCAGTAAAATGCAGTTACTCGGGAGCGGAAAATTTGGACAAGAATCTAAAATCTACCAAAAAATATCAAGTGGCTGAATTCTGAATCGAATTCTGATGAAGGTTAAGCACGACACATGTCTAACTGTTAGTTCACTGCTCGCATCCTGATTCTCACCTGTTACATAACTCCTCGTAGTCCGGGTCAAAATTATATAACCATCTTTGTTCGGATGCATGCCTTCATCAAGGGCAGTCGGAGACAGCTTGGTCTTTACGGGATTGGAAAATTAGGACGCTCTTTAATCATTACACCTGAGCCGATGAAGGTATTCGTTCCCTGTGGATTAAATTTATCCCTCCAAAGCTTTGATGATTCGGTAAGTGTTCTGAGAGTATTGACCGACTGACCCACTTTTTAAGACTTTGCCGTCTGTGGGCCCTTAGAATCTGCGCAATTTTCGATTAGATACGATGGTTTGATCCATTTACGGAATTGAACCTTGCTCCGTTTTGTCGTTCGTACATGCCTTTGATCTGCTTACAATAAACACGTCCCCACTGGTGACGATTCCCCTGATCCTTTAAGACTTTTGTTTTGCTCGTAATACATGCCTCATACATCCGCCTACTCACTTGATTCCTGAGCACAATTTGCAAGTGTTTTACATCCTTTAAGTGATCTGACACTCACGTAAGTTGGCACCACAAGTAAACATTTAGGTGGAAGGAAAAACCGAGACCTACACATGCCTCAATGTCCTTCCTGTTTCGGGCTTCACTAGCGTGAAATCGCTCTCCATAAAAGCAAGTTTACCACCGATTTCCAGCTCCTGAAAAATACACAGTGTGACGTGGATTCTTCCACTGTGTCCTGAACATGAAAATGATTGGTCAAATAATAGCACTACGACCATACTAAACGGACCATACTAAGTAGCCACTTGGTCAGGACTGAGACTTGAACTTTGCACTTGGTTTACTGCGATATCATGCCAGTAATGAGGCGATGACAGTTGTGAGCAAAGTAAGAGTCAAAAGTCTCGGTGACCGACTGTTCAGAACTAAAAGTGGTTGGTTTCGCGTCAACGAAATGACATTCGTGGTTTAATGTATTTAGGATGGTTGACTTGAACAGTTGTTTCACTATTATTTTCTCCGTAAGAGCAGTTTTCTATTGAAAATGGCCAAATTCGCCCAAGTTTGTTATCATTTACAAGGCTGATGACGGTTAACGTCAAATTCGTGATATGATCCAGAAAAAAACTGACCTTGACAATTTTCTGCGACCCGCCATAAAATTGTACCTCATTAAATTCTCCGAGGCGAGACTTCGTCTAAAGCAATCGTTTATCGCATTCCTTTAAGAATGGACGAAAAAAGTATACTCCGTATAATTATCAAAACGGGGTGTTGCCGTTTCACAGACATTCTAACTGATTTGGCGCGCTGTATATTTCTTCTGAAGTTGTATTTAGGTCAGCTACGAACGCCGAACTGAACAAAACGTTACTAAGTGTGTCATGTGCGACAAGAGTTATCGGTAATCAGTTATTTTTCTGTTTTTCTGCCGGCCATGCAACTAATCAGACCAGAGTTCATTGCAAATATCCAGAAACCGCTGGCCAAAGTTAAAAAATAAGCCATCATAAATAACCCGATAAATTTTTACAAGCATTCATTGCAATTATTTTATGATAAGGAGGAAATCAGAAAGGTAAAAGTTTGAAATCTGTCATCGATTAATCTGCACTTACCATGCCCGTTATACTTCCACCTACAGTCACGCACTGAAACGTCGATAAACATCTCCTGAAGGTTAAACCTCACGTTGTAATGAAGTGACAAAACAATGACTTTGTTTGACCACCTTCTACACGCCTTCCAGCCTGATAGTAGGAACATTCCTGGAAGAGATATGGGAACAAACATATCTTTACGTATCCGAAAATGTCTGAGGCGTGCTACAATACCGTCACCAGATCTGCGTATAAATCAAGCAGTTTCGTCATGCCGACCGAACTGACTACAAAAAAATTGCTTGACTTTCTTGAACACATAAAGGTCTTCTAGGGCGTTCTTTAATGTTAGGGCCACTCTGACATATTTGCTTCTGAATAATACTACTGGTGAAATAGTCAGACACCGTCATATACTGTCAAATATGTCGCCGTCAAACTCAGGCAGAAGAGGATCAGAAAGAACGTAGTCGATAGAAATGCTGAGAGATTCCCAAGCGAAACTACATGCAGTGAAGTTGTTTAGGAAAATCGAAGGCGAGCTAAGATGAAAAACCTCTATTAGGCTTTGTGCAATTGCCATTTCTTGTCTGCACTCGTCAGTGGGGTTTATTGGGGGACGTAAACCGTGTAAATGACGGACCATGGCATTATATCAAATAAAAACGTAAGCTAATCTTATTGCAACTCATCAACAGATGGACTAGATGCTTGCAGATATTTGTCTAAAACGGAGGCAAAATTACAGGACTCTTTTTCGGAGTAAAAGTAGTCAACCGAAACTAAAATACATTTTTCATTATCTTTGGATTACAGTTCACTATTCAACTAAGGACCAACCGGAAGTGACATGGAGAATGAAAGTCACAGGATCCTAAAATTTGCCAAAGTGGGTCACAGTATTCGTGCATATCGTTTATGAACGCGGAGCTCAGTTTGTTAGTTTGTGCCTGTAGTGCAGCTAAAGTACATAGTACCATTGAATTTAGCGCATTGCCTACATTAAAAAACAGGCAATAAACTGAACATGAGGCTTTATATCTAGATAGACAATAAATGGGAGATTTTAATAGTGGGCCCCCCTTATGTCTTGAATCTCGCTGTTGACTGTGAAGTCGACATTTAATCAGATAACCGATGAGTTGCAACCTCCACTGTAGGATTGCATCAGTGTGTATGTATCCGTTTGTATACCCTAGTAAAGCAAGCCATACCAGACAATCGACTGTATAAACACTCGGACGCCTGTCTGATCACCAAGTAAATAGCCCCCGAAAGAAACTTGGTACTTGGTTACTAGGTATGCTATAAACTGGATTTATGTGCACGAAAGAACCGTAGAGCATCACTGTTTACCAATATTCCAAACACAACACCAACAGCATAAAAACTTATACATTTGGTTAATCGCTGTTTTGCTTCACATCCGGCTTTGATTTCAATATTTTCCACAAATTTATCAAATGTTGTTTGTTATACCTTTTTTGTCTAGCTGTTTTCGCTGCCTGTTTCTAAATGTAGTGCTAATCTCGTTAGTTACCATGTCTTACAAATCATAACACACTCTGGCTTGAATCAACAAAACAGTTTCTTCAACTGCATCTAGGAGTAGTGGTCTGCTTCATTCTGATCTGCGCATTTGACTAGTTGAACTACTGATCCTCGCAGTCGAAAAATGTCTGCGAAAACTAAATTTTCTTCTTACATGTATAACAATCTATAGCACCAGAATGGTGAACCAGGCTGGACTAGTGGATACCAGAAAACAAATATGTAAAATCAGAGCCGCCAGAATTCATGGGTGCGAATTCAACAATTTGAAAGCTAAACACCCGCAAAATCACCTTAAAATATTAACTTTAATCAGCGATATGCACCACGCACCACCATATCTTGGAGAAAACTGTCGAAGACGGTTAGAACCGTCATCGCAGCGTAAGAATACGAGCCGTGTTCAACAGCCACTCATATATGCACTGATACTCAAGCGACCGCCTAATCAAGTGGCATTATCACACGTGTTAATTTTGGCTATTATTAGTTGGTACTCATTCAGCGTGATAAACGACTGTTTTCTCCTTTATGTGTATACATGCATAATTGTACATGTATGCGTATAATAGGTCTGGTGTATGGATTCAAACATTGATATATACCCAATCTACGTCCTTCTAAATGGTTCTGATTCAGAGTGGCAAAAATGTCAGCGAAACGTGCGATGTTTAGTCCACCATTTATGAACTGCTTGTTACATTAAATACTCAAAGTGAAACGAGACAAACGTCTGGTATGCTGAGCTGTGCACGTTTATCCGCCAATTCCGCTTGCACGCAAGCGCTCATGAGAGGTGTGTCGACTGGTGTTACATGCTAGGGTGACTAATCCTGATTGTGTGTGTAGGTCAGAAGACACCTAATAGCAGACTGCTAACGAAACTGAATGGTATAAAATTTCAGAAGACGGCCCTGTGTGAAGAATTTCTGCTTTGTAATCTGGTTTTCTGGTTCTTTTTATTCGCTAGGACATTTCACCAAGATGGGTGAACAAATGTCTTTGAAAATCGCCTACGTAATCGCGCTGGTGGTCGCCGCAGTTTTGGGCATAGTGGCTCTTGGACTTAATGACAATTTCGGAAGTAAGTTAAACCATTTTCCTAAGTTTAGTATCAAATAACCTTACATCAGCTACACCAGGGTGCATAGTTCCTTCATTATCGCTCATATTCAAAAGTGTAAAAGTGGACTTGATGTAATCCGTAAGTCATGCTTGACAGATCATTCTCCTGAGATAACAAAAGCTATATATTGCCTGTAGAGTAGGCAACTTAATCTTTCTCATTTTAGTTTGGTCAAAAATGGAATAGAAATCAATATCGTCTTGTGTTGACCACCAAACTTTACACTATTTTTAATGCAGCTATATTTCAGAAGTAATTTAAATTATTCTAAAAACATTATTCAACCCTATCTGTGCACTTAATTGATTAGTTAGTAACTTTTCTTTGGTACGAGGAGGTTTCACGTGAGCTTCGCTATGCATGTTGTATTAATCAACTGCAAAATCTTATTCCTCTGCACGTATAATGGTACATGCTGATTACACATGCCAATACGGTTATCGGGTTATTTTTCTGTTGGAACGGTTATACGGATTCAGATATTTCTAGTTTAGGGTGCATCTTGAGGTGCTTATAGACTGGGATTAAAATGAAAGTGAAACTAATGTTCCGTTGCCAGTAATGTGTAGACGACAACCTTAAAAGCAGAATAAGGGATGAATCACATTTATGATGACGTTGAAAATCGCCATTTCACGTATACTACGACAAAGATCACTCGGTTAGCTTGTTTTAATATACCGTTTAAGGATCTAATTACACTTTTTTCTCTTCTTGTTATTCAGAGAGTTCAGTCAGCAGAATTCGGTGCTCTGACGCCTTCACAGTTATTGGCGTTATATTGCTGCTAGGTGCGGCGATTTTATTCCTAGTTATCATGTTTCTCAAAACGGATGCAGCGCGGATTATCTTCATCGTGACTCTTGTTGTCGCGGCAGTTGGACGTGAGTGCAACTAACAATTTGAGAAGTGAGGCTTTAGGACTATACGCTAGCGTCATAAAAGAACGGCCAAAATTGTAATGATGGAGCATTATAGCACAATGCTTATCCGAAAAATTTTAGTGTGCATTTCGATAAACGAGCAACACGAGAATCGGTGTGCAAGCCTTAGTAGGAGCAAAAGTAGACCTGTCAAGGTAATTCAACCGCAGCTCAATCGGCTAGTTGTCTAATATGAAAATTTATGGGAAGGCATTTTTATTTTTCCCGGTTTTCCTGTTTTAGATTGTTATCAGCTCTACACACCAGTAGGTCCTTACATAGCCCAAATTCGGCCAAAATTCACCCACCGATCTTCCCGTACTTGACTAATGTTTCACGATCAGAATGGAATTCATCCTTAGCTGAGCTACCTGAAATCCGACCATATCAAACGTTGGAGGTTATCTCTTTTGAATTTGAATTACGAACTGTGCTTTCGACATTGCATGTTTCAAACGGCTTTTCATTCAGTGTGCATGCGAAAAATCTCGAACATATTTCAGTCAAAGGCTGGCGTCTTTGGCAAATCATTATCTTTTAATACTGTCAGCTGACCCAACACACACTTTACACACGCAGTATATCGAGTTAAGTTAACTCGGTCTGTGTAAGGAGTCCGATATTATATTATGTTCCCTTGAGCAGGATGTATTTCTACATTCATCAGGGGAATTACAGGAAGTTTGACAACATGCAACAGACAGCCCTAATGCAACCAGGTATATGAGGCTCTCAGTAAGAAGTGTGGATAAAACAGTTATAGTGATCACGCGCTTTTGGGTTCAAGTATGGCGAAGAAAAAGGCAAAGTAGAAGCGCCTGGTGATGAAGTAAACCATTGGAATACTGCAGTCTATACTCTAACGGTACAAACTGTGAGAACTTTATCGGCATTTTGTTAATAGCTTCTTAAATGGAGTAATTTGCTTCATTTCGCTTCAGTGGATATTAGTCAATTTGAAGTATAAATTCACACTTTCGCCGCATAACGAACCATTCTGATAGATTACCTTACCTACTGTTTCCATATTGTTTCTTCTTACAGTAATCAGCTACATCATCGCCTGTGGCTGCTTGTTTCAGGGAACACCCGGCTATCCATCATGGCTATTATCGGCTTTGTGGGTATCAATCGCAGCAGTTGCAATATCGATTACCTTTATATTCAATAACCCACTCGAATAATCCCAATCTACCATAAAGTTCGTCGTAATTTTCTTGTTGTTTTTCGTCAATTTATTTTGTGCTAGTTTGGCTACGTCAGTATCTGTAAGACAAAATCACCACTTGTTATCACTTGCCATTTTCGCCGGTTAGGCAGCAGCTTCTCGCCCTAGCAGTTCTTCTTTCTGAAGCCACCGATTCTTGAAACATTTAAGCATGTAGTCTAATATGAAACCGAAGAGTGGAAGACCATCGGTGTTTATATGTATGGAGTTTCCAAACATAAGCATCTATGAAACTGAATCACTCCACTGTTGAAAAGCGTATAACAGATGAAGGCGAAAATCTAGCAGCAATTTTAGTCGCGCCATCGAGTTGGTGCTATTGGCTGTAAGGAACCAAATTGGCTTTTCTTGAAAAACTTATTACGTCATGATCAACGGATTCATGTAAAGCGCTTTCGAACCTTCTGTTCAAACCGTTTGAGATATATTCATGCATCTTTGAAGCGATTGTTTTCTTGGGTCTGGTGTGGTTATTCTGAAGATAAAAAGCGTTTTGGATTCTCTTTTTGAACTAAAGAATTCTAAACAATATTCGTGTAACTTGTGTCAGAAATTAAACCTGATGCACCGAAAATCAAGTGAATTTTTGAATGAAATTTACTTTAAGGGAAAATAAAAGTCACTTACGGGGAAATATAATAGATCACCAGCTTTCACGACTGAGTCCAGTGACCTAACATTGATTGGCGGTAGCAAAATTTATCTATGAAAAAACAGCAAAATGGCGCGGTTTTCTTTAAAAAGTTACTTTCACTGGAGAAGTAACTGCGCACAAAAAAGCGCGAAACGTTAAACTTAAATCAGAAGTAGAACCACGGATCCGGAGGGGTACATTTGGATTCACTTTTGCACAAATGATGCGACACTTAATAGATATATTTTTGTAGATGAGGTAACTGAATTACGCGAATACTTTCCAAGAGGTAGCAAAATTTAAACGGCAATTATTGAAGCTGAATACCCAGTTGGAAACTAGCTTTTTAAAAGTTACTAGCGGATTCAATCCAATTTTCATGTAAATAACCTTACTCGGAGGTCCTCAGTGATGAAATATTCGGCACAAATCCAGTCATATCTCGCTGCCTTCTTGCCGAACGTATCTACACAGATTTCTCGTGACTTACATCAGTCATGAATCAGAATCGCGTCCTGGGACGTCCGATTTTGGGTAAAAGCCCACTGGCGTTTTCCTCATCGCTAGTCTGAGTGTTCTTATACTCAGGTACCCGGCAAACGAATCGACTAATGTAAAACGAGTTGCACTACTGAAGACATGCGAAATACACAAAAGCTGCATTGAAAATACCTGCAAAATTGACCAGCTTTTGCACCAAATTCGATACGTGGTAGTTCAGTTTAATCTGGCATTGATAGTCTGGAGTAAGGAAAGCTGATCATAGTCCTTATCATCTCATTGTAAGGCAAATGGCAGAATAGAAATAAGATAAAGTATGCATTTTTACGATTTGAACGCCCTCTTATGAGGAGTAAAGCGGGTAGATTTCAGGCTTGGTGACTCCATAGAAAATGTTTTTCCAAAGGCTAGCAATATTTTCTTGCGTAGTCATTCCACCATACGTTTATAATCTTCACGACAGTAACACTTCCAGAAATTTGCCTTGTAGTTTGGTTTCCCTAATTGTAGGTTGATTCCATTGAATTACAGTTAGCCAAACCATACAAGTAATTTTTGGACACGGTGGCATCTGGTTCAAAATATATAGAGAAGACAGTATTTATACACTATCCACCACATAATAACTAATACCTATAAGCTCTCCATTAATCTAGACATCATGACGAGCACTTACGATTTTTCGCCGGCAGTCATCCCCGCAGCTAGAACAGAGGTTTTTAAAGTGTAAAAAGACGACGGAGAAAACATGGATAAGCCCCTGAATGAGCACGTTTCGTTTTAGTTCCCTTGATTTGTGTACCATATTAAGTTAAAATGTGTCGAAGTGTAGTCAGGTAGTATCCAAGAGGACTTATACAAGGGTGTTTCTTCTAGGCACTCATGTTCGAATTAAATCTCTACGGGCCCTCGTGTTTGTGGGATCTGATAAGCCCTACTTATTCCATCAAGTCACTCACAGATTCATTAAATCGGTTGTAACGAAAACCTTCAATGTGCTTGGGAAGTTCACTGGAGACGAATGTGATTTTATTATTATTATTGCCAACTGTGAAACTAACGGGTAAGCGAAAAAAGTGCTATTTCTATAAAACAAAACCAAGAAGAATACACAACACTGTTTGCAAGCTGATTTTAAATGGCTTCACCACAAAACTGCGAGCGAACACTCAAGCAAGCTGCAAAAAATGTGGTGCTCATGAGAGGCTTCAGAAGATAGAAACGGTACTTTTGTGTTCGATGAGGACAAAACAATTCGGTGTCAATATAAGAAGAGGCACAAGTGGTCAATTAATCACAGTACCTTAAACGTCGCAGTAGGTCGAATCGACTGATGCGAAAAACGACTATTGAAAACTGACATTTTTGCTTATGGTTACATTCACTTAAGCTGGATTAAAGCTGGCTTGACTTGTTGCGGTTTTCATTTTGATGAACTAGTATGCTCCAGTGAACGTATAGAATTATTAGCCCGGAATAAATATATTCGTTAAGGTGGCACAAAATCTGTTCCCAAATACAAAGCTTTTTCACAGTACGAAACTACAACAGAGTTATACTTGTGGTAAACCGTTAATAAAACGGAGACAGCAAAAGAGTCTAGAAACCGACCTTACTTGATAACTGTTACATCAAATGCTTTATCCAAAATACCGAGATAGATTTGACTGCTACTGCCAGATAGAACCGAAGCCTAATGAAGTCCCATTGAAAGGCTGTCATATATATTCAAACGCAGTACACTATCAATAACGGCAGTTATGAGTTTTAGTTTTCTGTTGATGTGTCCAAGAGTAACACCATTCACCTTACTGCAGATTGCAATAAAACATCTGTGGTTTTCACTCAAGGTCTGTGCCTGTCTGCGAAGCCGCTTCTCCAACGAAGGACTTCCTCGGCCTTTTTGAGGCACATCGGAATTAGGCAATGAATCAATCCGCAGGGCGAAATAGTTGGCCAGGAGGTTCAGATCTGCATTGTAGCTCATAGACAGAGTTCAGCAATATTTATCCTTGGATAATGGAAGAAACCTCACGTGATCATGTTTCTCACTTCCATCGGGTGACAACTTCTCAAATGTAAGGTTCACTTTTGGTGTGAAATGTTCTCGTCTGTGTGCTATTTGTGTTGCTCAGCCACTAATTACAGGACGGGATCTCAAATAAAAGTTGCCAGATATCCTCGCACTATTGTCAAATCTATAAGTAGCTCAAAGGAAAATACGTTCACGTGACTGAAACATCCATGCGATAAGCCTCCATTAGAAAGATCCCTCAAAATCTGTGACTAAATGATTTAGATCCCGTAATTAAAGGATGAGTGGCGCTTCAGTGCGAGTAAGTGCAAGCCAGTCGCAAAGCTGATCAGTCATATTTGGTGGAACGGTTGTTTACTGCAATATCTTGTAGGTGCAAAAAAAGGCTTAATTTGTGTTGGACGCGCAAAACCAATCACTCCCTACAAGTTTTAAACAGCTCTGCATTAATTTTCAGCTTTCCAGCGTTGGCCGGCTTTGATTACAGAACGAAATACCAATTGAAAATTGCCTAATTTCCCCGCATCTTCTTCAAATGTATATTTAAATTGCAACTATTAGGCTATTGTAAGCCTTCATCTTGTCAACAAACTTCATCTATATATTTGTAATGTACTACTCATAAGGTTGCTGAAAATCCATCGAGTGTATATTCGCAAGCTTTCTCTAATTCATTTCACCTGATGACTGTGGTTCATTTCTTTGAGTTCAGGCAGTCATTCATACTTATGTTACGCCTTCAAACACTCTGGATTGTGGGATACGGTGAAGTCAAGATACTTTATTTATCTGTTAATTTTTATTCATCTGTGTGAAAGGTAGTGACACCAACCCCTGAATATTTCGCTGTCTTTTGAATGTTGTCGCATGTTTAACATCTTTTAGCAGTGGTCCAGGACGAAAATATGTTTCACAGACTCCTTTGACTTGGTGAGAAATTTTAACCAACTGCCGGCATCTCTCCACCAACGCCTTTCAAGTTCTCTGAACATAATGATGAGCATTTGTTTGTAGTTAAACACTGCATAACCAAATTCAAGTCGGGAGTGGATCTGAGATAGTTGGCGCCCGGTCTTACTACATTGTTTATTTTACCTATTATGAGTGATTGTGATTGTTCTCGGGCCAGGATGTTCTAAGAACCCGTAAGCTTACCTTAGGAGTGTTTCCGATGGCCTAAGAAAATAACTGTCAGTGATCTGACTAGCTGAATGCGTATAGGAATGAGTTCCCGGTATTTGACTGCGAAAACTCAACCGGTTGAAAATAAAGTAATTTAGGGAGTTGTACGGATTCACTACCTTGCTCACTCGGCAAAAAGCGAGTGTCAACCTAAGCACGTCTATCGGCTTACCGAAGATTGCATGAATATCATAGCGGGAGCACAATTTGAGCACTCCGGAAGACGTACCGTAGCGGCGGATCTGATTAGTGTAAGTGACGTGTATACAGCTATAGGTAAAATCATTAGGCTGTTCAATTCACATGTTAATATATTACTCACCGTTGCCTAATTATTCATCAGAGAAGTGAAAAGAATTATGCGTAGGTTGATAAAATCAGTAAGTGCTTGCACTCTGCTTAGTACGTTAGCCCATCGGCGTTTCAGAAGCAACACACCCTTCAACCTTACGTCACAGAAATTTCTGCGAAATAATATCTGTTGCAACATGTTAGAAACCAAGGTACCTTCGATTTATTGCGTGTTACGGAACACGTACCTTGGAGTTTGGTAGGAGGATAGACGCGTGATTTGCGTTAAAACTTGGGGCGATAAAACGTCTGTCTCGCAATGTTGTTCAAAACACAAGGAACATGCAACTATCCTATTAAACAAACTAGACAAGTGTTTGTTTAGGACAAAACCAAGTTAAACCAGTCATAGTAATGTATTTGAGTGCCCCAGATGAAACGTCTGAAATATACACACACAAGTTACGATTAGTCGTGTGTAGCCAGGCATTCTCTAATATCTTTTGACTGCGAGCTGTTGAATGCGTTGATAACTGATAACAATGACCAATGTAATTAAACTGGTTTACGGCTACAGCTAAGAGACCTCTTTTTGTAGCATCACTTTAGCAAAAGCTTAAAAATATCTGGTTGTTCTGTTGAAAAGTTCAATCTACTTTACTGGGTAAAATACCGTTTTGACTGCTGGGGAAGTAATGAATAACGTGAGCCACAACACATTGACACCAACGTACCGATAAGTTACCATTATCTATGCAGGATATGTTTACCACAAGGGTTTCGTATGAAACTCGGGTGCCTCATGATGGTTAAACAAGAACTTTCGAGGCCACTGTAACAACGCAAGAAATAAGACTCCATTGGCCCACTTCCTCATATGGTGGTTTACTGCTTAGCCTCACTTGCTTGCAAATTCATCATTCAAAAAATGGAAACCGTAAAACCTTGCGGAATTTCACTGCGCCGAACGGATGGAATT